ATTGCATACATTTCTTGTTTAACGATATGATACTATTTAAATTGCCAATGAGAGACTAAAAAGCGGATTATTTCTTGTTTTGAAGAGCAAGCCCGATTGCTAACGTAGAAAGAGAAAGCCAAAGACTTACAATAGCCAAAACAGCAGTTTTAGCACCCGGAGTCTCTGGCAAGTAGAATCTCTTGGGACCATGTACACTAATAGTATGGGTGTCAAAGTAGACATAGAGGAGGTACAACAAGAATGTTATGGCGTACGACAATTGGAAGACAAGATTGCTGTAACAATAAAGAAATAATGTTAGAAAATAATCGAACGGGATCGAACGGGATCGAAGCGAATAATCAAACTTGCACTCACGTTTTACCGTCGTTTGGCGCCATGGTATTAAAAATGTTGCCAAGCAAATGAACGACAGCCGCAGATATCATCAGCAGCCATTGTCGAGGATGGCGTACCGCAAATGCATCATTGTCACCATCTCTATTTTCATCAGTATTGAGAGGAAGTTGTAATTCCGCCTGTTCATTTAAATTCTTTTTGGTATTGATGAAGACTCTTGTAAACTCAATGACCAAGGCGAAATCCACAGCAAGCCCTGTATTTCAAGGATTCGTATAAGGAAAGGAAAGGAAAGGAAGCTAATACAACCAGATGCACACACATTAATGGATTACCTTGCACTTTAAAGAATACAGCGTCTATCGGGAAATTAGTGAAAAGGCATACGGTATTGATTATCAGATAGTAGGCCCCCCAAAGAAGGGAAAAGGAAACTCCCTTGATCTTGCCATTTTGACCAATGAGCAGTAAGATAGCCACTTCCATTAAGTTGTGTAAGGCACCAAACACACCCCACAGCTTGCCGACATCAAAAGCAATGGAAGCAACTACAGCTACAAATGTGGCCAGACAATACAGCGAGATGAACCTAAAAGGAATCGTTTTGCTATGAATAATCTTGTAGTCATTCTTATGTTTCAAGTTAACAAACTATACATGCCTGTTCAAGGTAGTTGTTGGAGAAATTCCGCTATCGGAATGGAAATAGGATATTACGTTCTTTGGCAGCTTTTCCACGAATGACCATCTGAAGGTCAAAATAGCTCCGACGAGTAGCACAATACTATCGAAAGTTGCAAATGAATCAACTTTCTGTTGGTCATTACCTATCGATAATATGATATTAAAAAAGATTAGTTGTGTAAATTATTTCTACCAAAGATGAGAAATATGCATAACGTACCGTCTATCTTGCCATGCCAAGTAGGATATCCTGTTAAACGAGAAGGTTCTGGGTCGTCTGTTTTACCAGAAGGCTTGGGGAACACAATTAATAAGCCTATAAGGAGAACTAGAGCGAAAGCGATAGAAATAAAGCCTTTAAAGGTCATTTTGTTGAATATCGGCAAGTGTTAGATGTGAATTGATGATAAGACTGTATTTATCATTCTGGGGGAAGCTGATGACTATGATTACGTGTTCGTTACTCGGACCAAACTGTTGTACGGAAATAGTCTAATTAGCCATAAACGTGAGAATGTTTTGGCAAAAAGGCTGAAGCCTACATCTTTTCAAGTGTCCATGTTATTTATTATGATTCCCTTATTGGTTATGATATCACAAGAATCCGAAAAATCGCCGGGCCGAAAACAAAACAGCAATTCCAACACAGTTAGCACAATGGGATGATTATCCTCAAAAATAAACAAGACGTGCCGCATTATTTACAGACCAATTATGAATTGTTCCCGAGTAGTACACCTTGGAAACAAGATAATCATTTCGCTCAGAGAAATACATCTCATGCTGTGTAATTGATACGACAGACAGTGTTCGAATGTTCCAATGTACGCTTTTCTATTTACAGATAAACGTATTGTGTTGAGGATTGAGTATCAGGGTCACATGTTAATATGTTATTATTGTTATTCCAATATTCAGCCCGCCCCTTTCCTATGCCTGATTAGATCTGCATTGCGACATTACGCTGGTGGGACCTTAACTTATTAGTTGAGCTTGACATTCAACAAGATAATTGGTGCGCTATGTCCACGGTAAATCTTTGAATATGCTTAAAGTAACCAAGTAATTAAATATTGTTTCGCGTCATAGTCATTTCCTTTTTCGGTGGTTTACTGACCAGCCTAGGAAACAAGTTAACAGGATTGATAGCAAGAATCATTGTCTTTGCTAACCTACAAAAAAAGTAAGCGTTGATATGACGACAGCTAAAAACCCAAGGCAATAGGAACAGAAGGGAGACCCTTTATATCTTCTAGCAGGCTTGCTTCATATAGTTGAACTTACCTAATTGTCTATACTAATACAGTTCAGTCATACCTCGTTTATGTCCCCATTTTTGAGGTACAGTCAACTCTGTCTATACCAGCCTTTTTTATACCGGGTTCGCCTTATACCGGTCCAATTTCGCTGCACCAAAAGATTATAGATTAATCTCACTCCTTAATCATATACCGGTCTCTCGTTATAACGGCCAAAAACCGCCAAACACTCACGCCGGTATAG